CTTTGAGTCCCCAGTACTCTCCAGCTTCCTCATGTCATTTTGGGTCCTTCATCTCAAATGACAATTTCCGTTACCTAACTGGTATATTAAGGTGACATTACTTGCCCTTTCTCAACACCCATTTGAGACTTTATCCTCATGTGCCATGTATCACCTTTCCATGAAGATTTATTTTTTCATTGTTGCTGACCTTCAGACATTGCCGGTTGGAATGGTTTGTGCTGATTGTGAACAGGACACTTTATCATTCTACCTACATGCTCAGACTGGTTCTTCTTCCTAAGACTCTATCAGCCAGAGAAGGAGATAAATCCTATTCACCAATTCATCTGATTACTATTTCTCACTTCTTTGGCCAACCAGATCTAGTGTTTGTTATGTCCAGTGAGGGTCTTGAAAGTTTTGTTGCCTGCACTAATGCCTTTAGAGATGCTAGACAATGACTTTGTTCATTGGGATCATTCAGTTCCTCATGATTTATCCCTAGTTACATTGACAAGTTTGGTATGAAATTGATCCATATTGCTTATTCTGGGCTCTCATTGAGATAGAGGAGACTTCTGCAAGTCAAATCTCATCAAATTCATCACATTTCTATGCCCTTAGCAACCCGATTGAATTGCTCACTGGATGACATTGTGCAGGCTGGTATGTTTACCTTCCTCAGTACTTTATCTTACATTATTTGCATGATCTAGCAGTATCTTCATCTGAGGATCTTCAACTAACCCCTGTAGCAATATTAACCACATCTGCTAGATTATGCAAAGGAGTGAGTATTTTCATTGCTATGCTTGTCTCTTCTTTACCTTTCAGGGTCCCTTACCTAATTTTTACAGGATCTCACTCTGTGGTGAGTGTTGTCCAGGCAGGTGTGCTTTTATTAAACCAATTCCGCACTAACAACCACTAATTCAATATACTTTATCTAGGTTGCAACAGCCTCTGAAGAAATAAGGTGTTCCATAAGACCATTTAGAGGCTGACCTGGTGGTATTACTGTACTATGCTGGACTATCATGAGTAAAGCATAAAGGGATCCTGCCAGTTCTACACTAGCTACCATTAATTCAAATATATATATATTATCTATTTTGCAACAGGATCTGTAGAAATGAGGGGTTCCATAAGGCTGATCAGGTGGTATTGCTGTACTCTGCTAGACTGCCACTCATGAACTATCATGAGTAAAGCATAAGGGAATCCTGTCAGTTCTGCACTAGCAACCATTAATTCAATATATATATATATTATCTATTTTGTAACAGGATCTGCAGAAGTGAGGGGTTCCATAAGGCCACCAAAAGGCTTATCAGGTGGTATTGCTGTACTATGCTGGACTGCCAGTCATGGACTATCACGAGTAAAGCATAAGGGGTTCCTGCTCATCTCTGCCGATTATTGGATTGAATAAATTGATGTCAGTTTGCTTTTAAAAATTTAGGGAACTTGGTTCCCCTGTTGCACTGTTTCCAGAGCACTGTTCCTTGGGACTTCCCAAACTGCATTACCACCCCAGATTCTACTAGTGAAGCTATGGAGTCCTTATCACACCTGATTTCCAGTCATTTAGGTGGTGGACAGAGGATTTTCCTCCAGAGTATTAGATTGAATTTCCTCCACTGTTGCAGAAGAAGGTAAAGTTCGAGACCCTCCTTCTTGTGTCTCAGGATGTTTTTTTCCTAGATGCTGGTAGGAGAGACACCAGCCTACACAGGAGCCTACTCATAATACTGATTCAGATTTGACGTTCAGCTATCCAGTTGGGTTGAGCGTGGCCCTTCTTTTTGATCAATATTGGTTCAGTGCATTGTTCATGGAAGAGGGTCCATTATCTCCTCATAATTCTAAATGCAGAGTGGTCCCATCCCAGGTTCTTGGTTGAGCACAATTTGTTCTACATCCTCCCTATAATTCTGGGGAGACAAGAAGAATTTACCTTGCCCACTTGGTTGGGGAGGGAAGATGGGTGTTCGTAATTCCAGACCAGATGAGTTCTGTTTCCTCAGGTTGAGTATGGCATACAGGATCCCCTCATACTTGTTCTATATGTAGTACAGTTCCCCCACTAGAGTACCAATCTTCTCTTGGCACAACCATGATCTATGCAGATGCTTTTTGTATGGATAATGCCCTCACTGGCCCCTCCACCTTGTCAATGTGCGATTCTAGCTATAGTGTGAAAGGAAGTAAGAATGTTTTGGAAGTTAACATTTCCTTAAAACAAAAATATACTTCCAATGATACTTACCTGCACTGACACTCTCCTGCCATTCCTCCCCACTAAGAGCCGGTGTTAGAGACTGCAAAATGGGTCAGTCTAGAAAAAGTGATAACATTATCTGAATGAGGTGCTTATATACAGTACCAGGATGGAGGGCGCATTGGCATAGGTGGAGAGTGGAACATGACAGATATCACCAAGCACAATTAAGTGAGGAATAAAAGATTGGAGCAAGTGAGAAAAATTCAGACCAGTGCTTAGATGGGCAAAGGAAGGAAATCCTGACTGTAGAGTAATAGCTATAGTACGTTAGGGGAGGTAAGTATTATTGGAAATACATTTTCGATTTAAGAAAATGTTAACATTAAGAAGAATTTATTACTTTTAGAACTGAGATTAAAGGTAAGTTTGTACTTATGTCAGATATTTTTGGTATTTTCAATTTAGTAAAGTGTGATTTTTTTTTTATGCTCACAACAATTAATGGATATGTCTGTTTTTAGTTTAAATATCATCATAGACTGTACTTGGCAACTCCTTACTTCTGTGTACAATGCTCTGATACTGGCTGATGAGAGTGATATAACTCCACCTCTCCATCACCCTGTTTTAGCTTTTTATCTGGAAAATTTGCTTCAATCAGCAGAGCAGTGGAATCAGTTAGAAAAAGCCATTCAAACAGGGGTAAAGTAGATACCTTTATTTCATACTATAGTGTAAGTGCTAATGCTCATTTCTCAAAAGCTGCCATTTGCACATAGATTTTATCTTGAAAGTTTCATTCAGAGTCGCATCAAAAAGCATTGGCTGAGTGAAATTTAAAGTCTTAATACTTTATTTTAATTTGAATCTTTTCATAACAAAACTGTATTAAAAGAAGACTGAAGCAAAGCTTTTATGACTCGATGAAACTGTTGTCAAATTATTTAAAAAATTTGTTTTAAAATTCTGTTGATTTTGTGTACAACTAAATTTGGTTACATTATTTCTAATACTGAATTAGTTTTTACTTAAGATTGCAAATTGGTAAATGTTGTTGCTAAAACAAGAAATTTTTGTGTTACCTTCTGGATGTTTGTGTATAATATCTATATATAAGTAAGCTACAATATTTATGAAACAATTTTTTTAATTATTTCAGATTATTTTAGAAAATTGGGTAAAAGGACATACAGTCTTGTTACATAGTGATGGTGATCGATCTGTGTTACTTACCACTAATCAACATCCACCACAGCACATTTTTGTAGCTGTTTATACTGCAGAACTTCTTTTGCGACTTCATCAGTACTCTCCTTTAATAAATCCACCTGATGAAGCTTGTGATGATACAACACAGAGTTTACAACAGTTCTCTCATCTGCAGCTTAACTTGCCTTATGTTTTGTTAGCCACTATTTATTCTACTATTGCAGGTTATGCTCATAAAACTGTTAAAGAGGTAAACATTTTCAGCGTTATAAACTATATAGTAAATATATATATATATATATATATATATATATACATATCAATTCAGTGAGTACAAGTTATGTAAACTAATGTATAAAACCCTATTAGATAAACCAGTCTTGTTAACAAACCATGATTTATTCCTTTAGAAAAACTCCAGTATCTCATACACTGAATTTTCTGGAAAGTTATAGAAATAATTATTAGTGTTTTTCTTGGTGGTTTCCCTGGGAAATAAAAAGTTACATCATATTACTAACATTTCATTAGTTTTTTTCTTGTTTTTTATTCTTCCTTTGGTAGTTTTAAGTAATAAAAGTTGGATCACACGAGACCATGACATCAAACATTTTTTTCTAAACTAGATATATTTTGTAAATCATATAAAGTTTTACATGTTTTGAATTTGAATTTGTCTGAAGCAAAAAAATTTCATCTATAAAGAAAAAGAATTAAGTTATTTATGATCACATGCAGATTTAAATTTTTTTTTTTTTTTTGCTGTTTATTTCACTTAACAACAGCAAGGTATTTAAAACTGTCTTTATTTATTGACCTGCGCATGAAAATGTTGGTATATTTTTTTATGTTTTATATATGTTTTACAGTCCAATGAAGATTTAACTCGACAAGAACTACATTACCTGCTTAACAAATCCTCTTCCGCACTTATAAAAAGCCTGTCTACATCAGCTATGGAGGAAATGTTAGACAACATAGGACAACGGTAAGTATACTTCTAGTGTTTAATATAGTAAATAGTTATATCCTACTTTCTCAATACTTATGTGTTACATGTGTAGAACTAATCCTTTTTACATTCAGAAGAAGTTGCTAAAAAACAGAATCTCGGCATGGATATGTATGGAATTAAGCTTGTATGCATGATAATTTCTTTGATACTGTGTTTCTAGAGCAAAGTTTTTCACTCAGTGAATTTTTACTAGCTGTGTATATTTCACAACACTTATTGAATTTGGCCAACATTTTTTCCCACAAATACTAGAAATATCTATTGGCAACGTTAACTTATGTATTACTCATTTGTATTTATATGAATTTCATTGGGCTGTAGCAAAGCTGTACACATTAGTTGACTAAAACCTAGCTTAAAAAGTAGGTTAATTTCAGTGGCTTTTAATTACAAAAGACAGTTCATTTTTTCTCTCTACTAACACAAGATAATGTTTATTTTCTATTCTTACATGACAATTTTTGTCAGTATTTTGGCAAACGTTCATTGCTTGCTTTTCAGTATTTTTTATGCAAAAAAAAAAACGAACCTATGGCAAGAAACTAGTCAGTATATGTTGGGAGAATGACAGAAAAACACAATTTTCCACTAATTTTTTTTGTAAATGTGAAGTTTTGAGATGCTCAGTTTGCCTAATATATAGTTGATGTGACCATAATGGAATTCCTCTCAAATACCCACAAGTGACTCAGTATTAAATTTGGGAGTGTGTAATGGTAAAAGGTTCAATCTGCACTGTGGGCATACCACAAATATCTTATTTTGAAAAGTTATAAAGAAAAAAAAATGTGAGAAAGAAGCCTCATATTCTGAAAATAACTGATGTTGCTACTACTATTTCAAAATGTAGTGACCTTTTTCATGATGTGGTTATTGAGTAGTTTGAATACAATGTGGAAGTATATTTAAGTTTTAGTTGTCCAGATAAGTATTACTTGCCAAGCATATGTGAAAGTGGACTGAAGTTTGAATTACAGTAAAAAAAATGTAGAGCTTTGAGAACCCAAATAAAAGTGAGAGGCAAAAGGAATGGACTCCATATATGAATGTTACTCTTGACATTCTTGCACAGTATCAAATATGTTAAACTAAGAGAGGGTGATTTGATGGTCTGAACATAGAAGAATTAATAACAGACCAAAAAGTTAAATCTATTTAAATTGTAAATTTCTTCATCACTGACATAACAGTAGCAAGCAAACATATGCATATTTGTGGTTTTAAAAGTTCAAGATTAAATACAAGATGATTTAACAGGTTATTAGAATGATATAGTGTGTTTTTGAGGGAAGTAAAATCCCCTAAGTCTTCTTTGGTGGATTTAAGTGCCCTAAGTCTTCTTTGGTGGATTTAAGTGCCAGAAGAATGTCTAAAATATTGTTTGAGGTGTAAATTTTTTTTCCTCTAAAAACCATTAGTCTTCCCCAGAACAAGCAAACTTTGGTTGAGATATTCAGGAAAGAGAAACTTCCTGATCACTTGTTTTGTGCACGTGTGTGTGTGGTTTTTACTGGTCCACATAGTTATCTAAATTATGGAAAAGAAAAAAATTTGGTTTAGTATTTCTAGATCTAGAAAAAGTCCAAACCAGTGTCTAAAAGAATATGTTTTGATCTGGTTGAGGTAACATTCAGTTTTAGTTGGGTTTTTTCCATTTAATGAAGAAATAATGAATAATTTGAGTATGAAGCAACCAACAGTATTAACTTTCACTAGCTATTGTAAATTATGTATCATCTCATTATATAGTATAGCATAGTTCAGTTAATATCTGGTTATATTATTCTCTCTCTTTCTTGTACCTTGTCTATGGGCAGACATTGACAATTATGGCTGTTCATCATTCTTTGTTTCGAGATAACTGGGTGATGTCTTTTTCTTTTTGTGCTGGGTTGTCAATCCACTTTGTCAGGCCAGTAATATACTTTGTTCTTTGCTGTCTCTTTATCTAAGCTTCTTCATGGATAGCATGCCCTAGGAATTTTAACTGGATTTTTCTGAGGGTTTTTATATGCGATTTCTTTCCTTTTTTTTTCCTGCACTTTTTCAGTTCATGCTATTTCGAGCATTCTTCTTCAAAACCATATTTCAGTGGCCTGTAACTTCATAACTTCTTTAGTTACCTTCCTACATAACATATGAGAACTTGAGTGTTAGTGGTTCTTTTTCTTCATTATTGAGCTTATTTTTCAGAAAGCAATTTTTACCATTCATATTATTTTCTTTATTTCATCTTTACATCATCCATCTGTTGTTATGGTAAAGCCTAGATATTTAAAATTCTTGACTTTTTTTTAATTTCCTTTACTTTGTATATTATAGGGTGATATGATTCTTTTATTTGATATGACCATCCATTCAGTCTTTTTCAGATTAAGGGATAAAACTTTGACCTGTTGGAACATAGGTTTTCCTAGCTGCTTCTGTAATCTTTTCAGGAATGTATGTTGTATTTGCATTCAAATTATTCCCTGTTTCATGGCATTTTTGATGCAGCCATATATATTTTTTTCTTCTTTGCATTTCTCCTTGACTTCCAAATCTAATCTCTAGGTCTTGTTTTGGTAGTCATGTGTCATCCATTTGTTTTTACTCTTTTTTTGCTTGTTTGGGGATAATTTCTTCTGTTGTTTCTATAATAGATATTTTCAGTTGTTCCCACAGAATCTACATCCATTATAGTCCATGGGCCAATGATTTTTTTCAGTACTACCATTTGGAACTAAAATATAGTATTGCCAGTGCCCAATGGCATACAAACTATAAACAAAAATGTAAGATAACCATTCCAAATGAGTAGCTTAAGTTTGTAATAAGCAATGTTATGAGTATCGTGTTACATTCACCAAAAATTGTTTTTCTGGGTGTCACACTGTTTGACTGGCAAGGCTTATTCCCATTTTTTCTTCTTTAAAAAATAATTAAAACAGTATTAAAAAATTATAGCTTGTTAATAACTTTTGATAATTATGGTAAAAATATTTAAGAAAGCTAGTATATGAATACCTTGATGTGCTTCTTCACCATAATGGAAACCTATATGTGTTCTGGATGTTCTATGTGTACCTTGTAGAACTTCTATTAGCAATGATCTGGTCATCAAGAGAAGGTAATTGGTTGCTTTACCCCCATTCCATCCGTTTAATGATACCCTGGTACTTTGCCTATGATAGGCTGAATTATGTGAGGTTTTTTTCCCATATATTATGCAGAAATGACTAAACTACCTGAAAAGTGCCTGAAAATTTTTGAGCATTTCCAGAATAGTGTATTTTTGGTTCAGGTTGGAGAACATAATCCATTTAGATGAATACTTGTAGACCGAGCTCTAGAAGAAACAGTTAATAACAGCACAAAAACTGTAGGAGGCACCAGGGAATTCAATTTTAAACCAGGCACAGTTAACAAATACTACTTAACTGCAGAGTTTTGAAGTACATGTCCAAACAGTTGCATGATATGATTGATCTGTAGACTTATGGTATCAGTCATGCTGATCTAGAAAAATCATGTGTTAAAAGAGATGAGGAAAATATGGAGTCAGTTGTCGAAATTCTAATGAGTCAGTAGATAAATCCATTTGACAGCAATCCGTGAGACATTGTAAGCCTTTTGACAGGCAATGCTACCACATCTGATATTGTAGATGGTCTTTTGACAGCCCAAGAGAAAAGTGAACAAGTCTATGAGGATTTCAAGAAAGAAAGATTGCACAAGGGAAAGACTAAATAGTTTTGGACTGGATCCCAAAAATAAAACATCCGACATTTAGCAATATGAAGGAGCAGGGCAAGTTGAGGACAAGCAACAAAGAAGCTAACTGTAGAATATTTGACCAAATTATACTAATGGCTACAGGAAGAAACCTTAACATGCAAGAAGTGGTCAACCGTCCTCTTGGTCTACTTTCTTGGTCACTGGCTAACAACATTGGAACAGTGAAAAAACTAATAAAGCTGCCTTGGTCAGAGGACTTGATAAAAATGTATCTGAGCTTGTTGTTTCCCCATCAGCTTGTATAATTGATGGTATGAGTTTTGTCCAGAAGCTTCACAGGGAGATCCATACTTTTTCTGGGTTCTCTGGATAGTTATTTGGTTTTATCTTGAGAGTTAGTGGTGATGGTGAAAGAATTGATGTTGTATTCAACACATACAAGGAAATGTCAAATAACATGGCTGAAAGAATGAATAGAGGGTCTGATAGAGGAGTGATGTTTGCCAACATCATGCCCGAGCACAGAATCAAACAGTGGAGACCTTTTTTCATCTTGTGGGTCAAGCAAAAATTAACTTATTCAGTTCCCAATGGATGACTGAAAAAATCCACATTACAGGAGTCAGTTAGAAAGCAAAGTTTTTATTCAACATGTGGCAATTATTGTTTTAAAATAACATCTGAAAAGTGAGAAGAGGTAGATGAGCTAAAAACTAGACAAGTATATAGGTATGACGCCATTTTTTTCACCCATCCTCCTCAAACTTTCACTGAAAATGAAGCTTTTGAATAAAAAGTTTTTGCTATTGAAGTATTAACAATTGCCCAAGATAACATCATGTAACAATGCTACAGAAGTTTATTTCATTATAACAAAAAATGATTTTCTGGCAGCAGCCTGGCCTAAAGGTTACTCAATAAAAGATATGGTAGCTCACTTAACCTACTCAATACAGAAAGCTATTATATAATTTTGTTTTCTACAGATATATATCTACTCAAAAAACACTATGACAATTAGTTACAAATCTGGTACCAATTTGTCAAAATTCTATTATTGGTCCACGGACTATTATATCTGTTAGAAATGAACTTGTTCTTTACGGTGATCACATATTTTTCTTTAATCTTGATATCCAATTTAAGTAAATGAACTTAGTGTTTTGGTTTCTGCTTCAACTTCAAAACTTTCTTCATTTTAATCTTTATTTTACAAATTACTGGAATATGATCACTTCCACAATCAGCTCCTGGTGCTGTTTTAGCATATTTAATAACATTTCTAAAATTTTTATCGATAATAATAATAAAATCAGTCTGATTTTTTGTGCAGTCTCTCAGTCTTTTCCACATTCACAGTCTTCAATGATTTTGAAACCAGGTGTTTGCAATCAATAAATTATGGCTTCTGCACTATTCAGCCAGTTTGACCCCTCTGTCATTCTTTGAGCTTAATCTATAGGGTCCAACTCTTTGATAACTTGAAGCCATATTGGCTTATACAGTTTAAGAGTGCAGAAAAAGGCTTCATTAGGAGTTTAGATTTTGCAACATAGGCAAATACATCACACCATAACAGTTGAGGTTAAGAAACAGTAATTGGCTAAAAATTCATAAAACTACACTTGTATCCCTGTCAAATTAGCATTACTTTGTTCAAAAACTATTATGAATTTCCTCTTAGGTGGCTATCAGTGCTGTATTATGTTCATGAAAAAATTAGGAAATTCACAAAATCAAAATCTGTGATTTATTTTAATTTTTATATGTAAAACGTTTTTGTTGAAGAAATTTCAAATCTGAAATGTTTTTTTATGTATGGGAGAATGACTACAAGTCTATTTTCCATATGTTTTTAACTTAATGGTACAGTTCTGCCCTCAAGGCAGGATGTACCATTCGGAGTGTGATAAAGTTGAACTTTGTACAATACTTGTTAAATTTTTTTAATACTCCAGATACTAGCTTCATTTAAAAAACTTTATAAAACATTGTTAAGTTTGATAATACAGCTAACATTTATTTTTTCAACATTACTTCAAACAGTATTATTGTAGGTATGTTTTTACAGTTTCATTTAAAAGTTGTTTTGTGTACAGACTTCTTTATGACTGTTGTTAAGGTTTTAACAATATTGTCTGACATTTGCTTCTTTTACAAAATTTTGTACCATACTGTTGTTAAACCTAGGATAGTGGTGCACAACTTTATTTAGGAGGAAACCAAATCTGATTTGGAGGAAAAGCCATGGGCCTAATCTTTGAGGCAAAATTTAATATTCATGTTTTAGGAATTTTTAGTTTTACTCATAAGTTAGGCCTATTAGCAAAATTATCCTGCAGAACTTCACTAAAGAGATAAATGACTTTCATTAAAATAAGTGGCCTGGACATTTTATTTATTTTTACTGAATAATTAGAAAGAACCAATAAAGAAAAGAAGCCCATTCCAACAGAATCAGTGGTGATTTCTTTAAACATTGGGGAGCATTTTAAACCATGATTTTAGCTGCAGCATAGTGGTTCATAGAATGGCTCTAAGTTTTTTTTGTTTTTTTCAAGTACAAACTTTTAGCTCATAGTTCTGTCATCTCTTGACCAATTTAAGATCTAATTACACTTTTCAACTCAGGAGGACAAACCCTTTCAATTATTGTATTTGACCACACCCAAGGCTCCTTAGATTAATTTACTCTAATCCTACCTGAAAGAAGTTCAATTTCAGGGTAGGCCGATAGAGATCCTGATGAGTAATAAAATTGAATCAAGTATACGCACACTCCATGCTTGGTATTGCTGGTGCATAAAAATATAGCTAATACAAAGAAAAAAAGGTCTCAGATTAATTTACTCTAATCCTGCCTAAAAGAATTTCAAGTTCCGCAGCTATTGAGGATTCCCTCTTGTTTGGAGAAACAAGACTCAATAATGTTATGTAGTTCATTAATGAATTATAGAACATTTATTTCTTTTTAGGTGAGCTGTTTTTTTGTTTTTTTTCATATGTAATATTTAAGTGCTTAAGGGCCAGATTAAAGTAGTTAGTGAACTGTATGTTGTACATCACTGACTTAGGACAGCATTGCCTAATATTTGCTTCTTTTACAAAACTCTGTACAAAACTGTTATGTTTTTGACTATATTGTATAACAGTTGCTTCTTTTAAAGAACATTGTACAATTTTATTTTTGAGCTTTTCACAATATTTCCTTACAACTTTTTCTGGTACAGAGCTTTGTGTGATACTGTTGTTAAGTTTTGAGAGAATTTCCAAACATTTGGTCACTTTACAAAATATGTTTTTTAAGTTTTCATGACAAAAGAACATATCATTCCTTACCCAGCACCACACCCTTAATTTGCTTGGAAACAAATAAACCTATTTAAATATACTTTTATTTCTCCAACAGAGCTCCAGACAGCATGCTTTGGACAGTTGTCCTTAGTCATTTATGTGCTCAAATGGAAAACTGTGATGTTAACCTTAGGCACTGGCATACTAAGTATGCTTCTACTCTTGATGTGTAAGTTGTGATTTTTCTTCTTTTGTTGTGCTACAATACAAAAGTGCATTTCAACTAGAAAACAAAAATGGATGTTGTGTCATTGCATTAATAAACTATGTAGGCAATGTAGGTTGAAAATTTATGAGACTGGCTCTTGTCTTGTATTAATGTCATTTTTATTCTGTTTTGTACAGTGGACAATGATTTATTACAAATTTTGAATCATAGATTACTCAAAAATCACAGCAAGTGCAACCCATAAGAATGCTCAACTCTCAAAGTTGTATCTCAAAATTACATAGTTATTGAGTTTTAGTATGTTTTTATAACCAGTTAGTTGCAGTCACTTGCCTCAAGTGAACCATAGCATTTGTGAGCATTGATTAATATTAGTCAGTAAGACCTCAGTTCTTTCAGTGGTGGTCATAGATCAAAAGTAGTTTGGTCTTGTGAAAAACTATATATGTAAATGTGTTTATATATATATACAAGATTTTAATGGGTTTCACAATTTATTATAACTAACTTTAACTATGTTTCTCGAAGAACTTTTAAAATTAAGTTGTAAATGCCACTGTTACTATTATATTCTCCGCTTTCTGCTAAGTACGTATTAGGAACTCTTATTTATCTTTTACAAATCTTCTAGTAATAGTATAAAGATGCCTTGAAAAATGCTTATTTTATTATTGTATGTAAACAGTTATTAAACACTATTTAGCTATTAAAATAGGTTTGTCTTTAGAATGTAAACATACATATATGTATAAAACTAATCCAAAAATGTGTGGAATAAAACATCCTTAACAGTAAAAAAAAAAAAAGGAATAATTAAATATCTAATGCTTCTTAGCTGTGAGTTGATAAATGTTTGTATATAAAATAAGTATGAACTGTTGCTACGTTATCTGTCGTAAAACCTTTTGTAATATTTTGATAAGTGCTGTACAGCAATCATCTGTATCACTAATAACATAAACAGACATAGTCAGTACAGTTCTTTTGTTCCAGATATGCTCATATTTTGTTTGCACTCTCTTTTTAAAGAGAGAGGTGTAGTTATGTATTTGCTATGTAGAATTGTTTGGCACAAGAATGTGATTTATGCACAGCTCCCTTGTTTTAGTTGAGGCATATAGATATTTATGTAATCAAATAACACAGTTTTAAATCTCAAAATAAAGTCAGAATTAGTTAACACACACTATGTTTGATATAAATTAATGATTTTGTTACCTTATTAAAGATTTTTGGGGGTTAAGGTTTCAGGGAATAGGACACAGGAGAGTACTGCAGCATATGGTACCCTTCTTGTCTACTGACTGCCAGAAGAATCTACTCACATCTGTAATCAATCTTTTCCTCTGTTTGGAAGATTTCTCCAAGGAAGGTACAAATATCTCAGTAACTAAGAATTAATCTGAAATTAGTGTGTGATTTCATACTTTTAGAGAACTTGAATGTTATCTTACCTGACTGTTAACCTTGCTCTGGAGTCTAGATAACTTAAACATCGTCTTAGCTCTAAATCATTTAAACTTTATGTTAGTTCCATATGACTTGAATATTAGCTTAGCTCCAGTTGACCTGACTCTTAACCTCTCTCAAGATAACTTAACCAACATTTTAGTTCTAATTGATTTGAACATTAGCTTAACTACGGATGATCTGAATGTTAACCTTACTCTAGATAATGTTATTTTAGTTTATAAATAATTTTAATGTTAGCTGAATAACCTGACTGTTAACCTTCTCTAAATAACTTAAACATCATCTTAGCTCTAGGTGGCTTGAACACGAGTTTGTTCTAGTATCGAGATGCTTCAAGCATTAATCTTGCTCTAACTGACGTGAATGTTATCCTTTATCTAAATGACTCTTTCTAGACTATTTGAATGTTAATTTAGATCTAGATAACTTTAAAGGTCAGTTTATATATAGATTATTTGACTAATAGAGTGTTGAATATTTACAAAGCTGTAAATGATATAAGCTTCAGCTAACTTTGGATAACATGAACCATCACCTGGCTGGAGATGGTTGAACTTTAACCTGGCTGTAAAGAACTTGAATTTTAGCCCTCGGTTACTATAGATTAAATACCTTAACATTTATTTTGCAGGAGAAGATAGTTTCAGCTGCCTTTCTCTGATAACCACCTGTTGTCAACAAGATGAAGTTGTTCATGATCTGTCTGTAAAAGATGAATTGGGAGCTCTTTTGAATTTTCTCCATGGTCTAAAATCAACACAGTCAATGCTGTTTGTGTGTTGCAGGTAAGTGGATTAGAATCATTGTTTTTTCTTTCTTATTCCAACAAACAGTGATAGATCTTTATGTTTGATAACCCAACACTTAACCTTGCTTTAGTTGACATGAATGTTACTCAAGATGCATGATGGAGGGCATGGGTCAGCCATGTGATAGAGCTTAGGATTTCAGAGTGTTGTTATTACCAACTTACCTTGCATTTGTAATATTTTGTTCTGATGTGTTTATCATAATACTTGGTGACAGAAACTTATCATACCATATAAAAATGTTTTTATTTAATATACCATGACAAACATTTTGTTTTGAAACAGTGACCTACTTAAACAAAAGAAAGAGAATGTACTCTTCAGCTGCCAAGTTAGCCATTTCTTCCAGGTGATAGTTCAACAGTTTCCAACACTACTAACCTCTATCAACTGGGATTTTTTGCTTTGTTTACTTGCTGATTGGATGCAGGCAAGTTATTTTCAAATTCTTCAATCTTGATACTTTGTATTGCCAGTGAAAAATACTGTACAAATTAAATCAAAAATCTAAAATATTGTTTATTTGGTACAAATAGATATTTTGTGAAAAAAGGGACCAAGCAATAGGAAAGGAAGTTTGTAATAAAAATATATAACAAGTAATATTGTTGTGGTAGAGTTTTATTTACTACAGTGCTTAGCATCAGCATCTGTAAGATTTATAATAACAAGATACTCTAACTACTGTTATTATATATAGTTTCTGTTCTTGAAGCCATAAAAAGTGAAATATAGATGAAAGAAGGGAAAATGAACAAAACTGTGTGAAAACTTCTCAACATATAAGGTAATACATTTCTTAACACCACCTTGTATTTTTTGGTGTATTCATGTTTTAGTATTTACTTTTGTTAAAACACTGCAGAGTTGTAGCCATAGTGGAGATACCACAACAGACATCCCTTTACTTGCACTGATGAGAAGATCTTCCTTGCTTCTAGAAACTGTGTCATCACTTGTTGGAAGCTTGAAGACACACCCTCAAAAGGAGCTATTTCCACCTGATCTTTCAGATGAATGGCAGAACGTTTTTATGGAAACTTTGTATAACACTGTATTACAACTTTTTTTTAACATAGCAGGTAACTATTCTACTTTATATGTATTACCAAGTTCATTTGTTGTCAGTTTCAAAATATTAGTGTGGAAAGTCATGCATTGAAAACTAAATGCAGGAACCTATTGTGATTTTCTGTTATTATACTAATGTGACATTTTTAAACTTTTTAATAGGGATACATTTATAACACTTCATGTTTGTAAAAAAACAACAACTAATTTTGAAACTGTTTATATTATTATGGTATTACTATAATTCTTGAAGGAAAATTTCACTGGAAAGCTTTCTTCCAAGATATGTTGAAGATGCATTTCATGCTAATTGTTTTTACAAAACTTTAACATGCTTTGCATAGGAACCAGTAACTGTGAAACACATCACAAAATTATGTGTACATCATTTCTTTATCAATGAGAAAAAAAAAGTTTCAACGTCAAAATTTCATTTTGCAGCACCAAAAGTGGTGGTGTAAGGTGACCATGTAATTCTGGATGAGATATTTAAAAATTGTGTGGTTCATGATCAATAATGTTCTACTGAATTGCTTTTAAAGAGCTAGAGATATGTGAGAAAACATGTCCAAGCATAGGAATGACTTACTCGTTTACTGGTTACTGTCTTGTATTTTTTTGCTTGTTAGATCAGAATCACAGAATTCTTTATTATATTGTTGAAAAAAAAAATGCCTACGCGTTTGTGATTCTTAGTAGTTAAGGTTATGCTTGCACTAAACTTCTGAGGTTGTTTGAGTTAATTTGATTATTGCTCTAGTAACTCCAGTAAATAATATCACTGCATGCTTAAACGCTAGGTCAACAGTTTTGTTTGACCATCCATCAAGTAGGTTTCTATCACTGGGAAACCTTCAGACATTCAGTAAGGTTACTTGATTGTTAATACTATCCAGAAGCAACATCACTGGTTAATCTCTAGGTCTAATTATATTGATTGTGTGATGTAATTGTTTGGGTTTTGTGTTTCTTTGGATAGACATAACATAAATGACATGTTTTGTAAGAGGATTGAATTGTAACTAGCTTGATTACTGGTTATATGGATGATTTAGAAATGCATTGTTAGTTATATTGAAATTTGCCTCAATTGTCATATGAATATATACTTGTAAATCATGTAAATTGGATTTTCGTAATCAGCAATTGTAACATTCTCTGCTGAAATTAACCCTTTCCAGACTGGTGCGCACCTTTTAAGTGTTGAGTGCACAGCTGCATATCAAATTTCAAAATTTACATAAAAGTAACTGTATTTCAACAATCTTTTACTCAAAGATATTTTAGAATTGATATTTTTTTATTTTGTAATTGATGTAATTTACATAGAAAATGAAAACGATTTTCAAACTTATATTTATGTGCAGCTTTGAGGATTCTTGCCTGTTCCAAAGCATAGGTTTATATTTGTTAAGCAACTATCACCTCTTGAGAATATAATAACCAAAGTTGTTTATCACAAGATTTTTCTTCTCTTTCTCTGTATTTTATTAGTACACCTTGATTCCCACCCTTTCATGACCTCACAATAGGTTATTGAACAACTACTAATGAAACTCAAATTTCAAAATAGTTACAGACAAAGTTTAAATATTATTGGATTGAGCAAATTATAAACTATTCATATCAGAGAATAAAGTGTGACAAATAATTTATGGTTTTGTGGGAAAGTGACAAGGCCTAGCTTTGATAAGGAAGAACAGTGGAATGTCGTGGAACATTTAAAACACTTGGGAACAAACCACAGATCATGGATTTTTTATTCTTCCATTAGATGCTCTTTTCAGTCCTGAAAACATTTTTTTAATTATATATATTTGAAAGCTTCAGAAATATTTCACTATGACAAGACATCAGGTGAGCTTCATTAGGTTTAGGGTATAAGGTGAGTAATGGCAAAACACTCCAGTGACTGAAATCCTTATTTATTGAATATTAATGTTATGTTTATCATATTAAAACAATGTACTTAAATAAAAGAACTTAGAATTTATTGTAACAAAAGTATGTTTGTTAAATTGATTTCAACCTAGTCAACCTCTTGCCATTTTGAGAGTTCAGGTTCTATTTCACAATATATCTTTATGAGTTTCTACTGTTCATTTTATGATCTATATCCAGAAGTGATGACTACTGTAATCATCAAAATAAATGTTTTGATGAGTATCATTCAAGTTGAAACTGAATGGATATATGAAATGAAACTTTCTGATAAAACAAAATTTAGCTTCTTAAACAAAAGTGACACCCTCCTGGACTGGAAAGGATTAATGTTAGAAAACACTGAATTATATAAAAAGTAGCCTATTTGATGTTCAACAGTTAATATTGGTTTTATTGCAAGAAATATGCAAATAATCATCAGTAACAAGTTTTTTTATCTACTTTAAAGGAAAGGTACACAAAAAAGATGTTGTAACAATAGCAGAAGAAGGAGTTTTAGAATCTCTGGGTTCCTGCTTAGAAGGTATACCTGTTACATACCTTCTGAACATCACGCTACCTCCAATACCTACTACAGCAGAAAAATTCCAGTATAGATCACCAGAGTTACCATCATCAGTCACATCTGTGCTACAACACCTGTGTCCACTGCTGACCTCTGGTGTCTTATCTATACAACTTGGAGCTCATCAGTTGCTGACAAAGTAAATATTATTTAAAGCGTAGCATTATAATTTCAAAATGGGGAGGTGTTCATGAATACCATTAGCTATGTGTAATAACAGGAGTAAAGGACAGTGAAGTTATAAGCCTTAAAGTTGTTTCGTTCCACTTTCATTTTAATCATTCTAGCAGAAGAAGAGAGTTAAATTTGGTAAAATAAAAGTATGATATAAGTTGTGCATTTAGCCATATATTTTGAAAGAATATCTTAGATTTCATACCATGTATGCAATATTATAGTTCACCTGTTTCAGTAATTTATATTTATCTTTATTAGAAACTTCACTGTTTGAAAATTAATGGTTATTTTTTTGTCTTTTTTTCTAGGTTATTAAAACTTTCACAGGATTGCATTGTGCCATTGTTCATACCCTTATGATTTTTTTAAATTGAGTATAATTAGTAGTTATAGTAACTGAATAAAATCACCATTTCTTTGTACAATCTAATGATGTAAGTTATTTGATCCCTTTTTAGAAATACTTAGTATGTTAGTTTGAAATTGCATTAACTTTCAGACTAGTGTCATTCAATAAGAATACAAAGTAGGATGTATTGTACATATAACAGATTCTTAGGCTTAGGACATGTCGCATATAAACCTGTTTTTCTAAAGTTGATTAAATTCATACTTGTAAACTAATTGACAGAAAGCTTACAAACATAATTGATATTATATTATTGCAGTTGTTATATTGATAAATGTGAAATTATACTCCAGTTCCTATTAAATTTTAGTGTTAATTTTTGCATTATAAAATACTGAAAATGTTTTATTTCCCTTAGTTAATCAGAAACAGTTTTTTGATGGACAAAATTATTATTTGACAGTAATTTAAGAGATAAAATTGTAAAGCACTGGACTGAGCAAATTGTAGAAAAATAGGTAAAATTTACATAAACAGTTAATAATAAATATTCTTAATTATGAGTAATGATAAACTACGAAAAGTTTCTTTGGTCACTTTGACTTAGGTCATTAGTTGGATACTCGTGAAGTTAGTGGTGTTTTTGGCCCAAAAGTAGTGGACTTATATATATATATATATATAAATACATTAAAGTGAGCAGTGTAAAGTGACTAGATCCTTTGTACAAAGCAGACTATTAAAAAGACACAAAAAAATAAATTTTTGGATGAAACTTGTTTAACTTTATAGTATTGACATGAAGATGTTAAATATTGCATAGCCACAACTTGTTCTAAATCTTTGTCACAGCTGCTTAGCCACACTCCTGCTACTTTTTTGTGTTAAAAATTAGTTACCTTTTCACCAAAAGATCCTTATTTCTTTACCAATGAAATAGTATAAAGGTGGTAGTGAACAGTGAGACTGAAACATCAATTTGATAGTAGTACTTCCATTAACACAGTATTGTTGGTTTTTTTCAGGTTAGTTCCAGAACTACCCAAGATGTTTTTGAACCAGGAGAAGATGCAGGATGAGGAAGAAATTATTAAGTTAGTAGAGTTTACTAAAAAAATTTTGCAAGATAGTTTCTTTACACTAATATTTTTTGTTTTATTTTACTGTATATCTGAAAGCTATTATAGTATTTTGTGAAAACAGTAAGAAAATGATGTCATTAGTTTAGGTTGGTGATGATTACGTAGCTTGTAGTTTTTTTAACTCATTACTGCGTTTCCGTACTTTAACTTTTAATACAGTATGTGTATGTTCACAAAATTTGGCAGACTTTCAGTAAACATTACAAGACTTTTGTACATTAAAAAATTAGACTTTTAATTAAGTATTTTGTAATAAAGATTTGTCTGTGAATATATCAAATAGTTTTGTTTACTAATTTGAGTGCAATGTGATTTTCATGTTAAGATTAAAAATATTTTTATAAATCTGAAAATTTTCAAATTTCATTTGTGTAATCTCTAAAACCTCTTAAATAATTAGAAAATGTTATTTTTCAGCAAAAATTTATATTTCATCTGTTATTTTCTCTACTCTAACTCAATTTGACTGACCTCATAATCACCCCAAAAGAAAACTTGAAATAAATCTAAATTAACCTTTCTTCTTTCTGGAATGACTTCAAATTGTAACATGAAACTACATTTGTTCATTCTTTGATAGGTTGTTTAGGCATAGTATTCATGATGAAACTTAGTTGAATGAATGGCAGCTGCCTGTTGTAGAAACACAAGTGTAGTGTACAATGTTTCAAAAGTCTTCTGCATGAAGATGAAAGAGGAAACCTTTCAGACATCATCCTCTACACTTGTGTTTCTACAACAGGCAGTTGCCATCCATTCAAGTTAGTTTCATACATTTGTTTATCCTAAATAGCTTTAAATTCATAACAGTATACATCTGTTTATATTTAAGTTTAATTGCCCTTTGAACCATGTCTAAATTAATATTCCCATCATAAAATTTGTAAATCAGTTGACGAACGTGGAGCTCATGTTACCCTATTGAATTGCACGAGCTACCCATGAGCATACCTAGTGAACAATTTTTACTATTATTATTCTTTATTTCACCTTATCTAACCTAAAAAGTTTCTAATTTTTACATTTAATTACTTTGAAAATAACAAATAAAGAATACACATAAAAAACAAGAAATGAAGTACTTGACTGGGTCTTCTTCCTTTCTTTTTCTTTTTTTTGCTGTTGATTGTCAGTGAAGATTAATCCTACTTTTTTATGCTAATGGTACTACTACATTAAATAATTTTTTATTTAATTAAATAATGCAACTAAGAACACAGAATAATAACATGCAAAAAGTGGACAATGTACCATAACTATCATGATTTTTCTGGCTTTCTAACAATGTGACAGGAGCAGTTAAACACTCAGCTAAGCTCACTGATGTGTTTGCCATGGGAATAAAGTTTATATTGGAAATGAAATAGACAATTCTCTGTACAGAAACTAACATGATATGATATGTCATTTGATAGATTAAAACCTTGAATTTCTTTTGGTTATAAATAATAGTGTATTAAACATAAAAGAGAACTATTGGCAATTTCTGACAGAGAGGGTGTGTGGCAAGTGAGGTCTGATTTTTTATTTTATGGCTCTTTAACCAATTAAGATTGAAGGCTATGAAAATTATGCTTTGCCTGAGTGATTACAATATTATAATGAGTAATCTACATTAAATTTCATATATCTTGGAGTGATGGTAAATAAATTAGAAAAGAAGGTGATATCTAGAGAGCAAATATTACATTTCTCACGCAAGGGAAAAATTGAGGATTTTTTAATATTGCTTTATAAAATTAAAACTTAAAACTTATATAATGTTAAAATTTGGATTATTAGCTATGCTTTATGCTAAGTTTACATACATACCATGATAAGAAAGCTGTTTAATTAAATACCGAGTGTAATTCACTAAACCCTCCTGATACACTTACAAAATGATGCCTGTTCTGGAAGAGTTAATCAATTTTCAGTACCAAACTATTCTAAAAAAGTATAAACATTGTTATTATGTCTGTCAGTATAAAGAAATAAAAAGATTTATTTTAACTATTGTCATAATTTTGGTATTTCCCAAAGGTTTTGATTGCATTTATAACAAGTTACCTTTTTTTTGTTCCCTTAATTTTTTTACATAGTAGCTTGACATGCTTCATGTGAGATTTGGAGAAATTTATTGTTATTCTGATAAACTGTTATATCTTTGTTTCATCACCCTTGCACCTTTTTTTTCTTCTTGTGTTGCATTCCTTTATTGAGAAACATCAAACTTGTTTTGCATTCTCAGCTTTTGTCTCCCTGTTATACATTTTTGATAACTAAAGTTCTGCAATATCTAAAAGTCAGTGTTGGAAATGGTACTGTTACCTGGATTTATTTACGTACTAATTACCTTTTTCATCTTCCTAGTTATCAGTCACATCTTACTTGAAATCTTCATGTTTGGCTCTTCAACTAATCAAAATTTCTTCTTTACATCCTATCTTCAACTCAAGATTGGTTTCTGTCTGTACTTTTTGTATGATTGACTTTTACAAAAGGCAGTGTCGAATAAGTGAAGTTAGTTCTTTCTTCATATTCAAGTCACAGAAATGATGTTCAGTTAATGATCAAATTTATTTCTTCATATCCTTTTTACCAAATTTTTTTTCTTCTATCGTACCATTTCTAATGAAAGTTTTTGATACAAAGCTTTCAACTTCTACCTTTATCCTACTGACAATTGTAGCTTTTAGTATCAAAATAGATCATTTTCTCCCTCTGGGTTTCTGTATATCCACCTTTTTGATCTTTCACTAGGATGCTTTTGATTGGTGTTACTCAGTTTTTAAGAGATTGTTTTTTGTCACCAGATTCTGATTTGAATACTTTTTACAATGTTCTCTGCTTTATCGCTGTTATTCACATCAAATATTACTTGGTTAAGAACTATATCAGTAAGTTATCTTTCTCTTTCAGACTTTTTAAACTGTAATAAAATACGTCCCAGATACATTTATAACTATTTTGCTTGCAAAGTACAGCTTCCCACATTCTAACATGTAACTCAGCATTTTGTAGTGTCTGGATCAGAATTTTTCCTACAATACTTATTATTAAAGAACTTTCAGCTTTAGAAATGTCTAGTGCTGTTTTAGTGTGTCATCTCTCCATCCACATATCAATAATATTATAGCAGTGCAGAAGGATTTTAAGTGTTATTTTTGTCACTTACATTCCTTCCTCCTCCTCCCCTCCCCCAAAGAAAAGACACAACTTATCAGTTTCTTTTCGACCTCTTTTTATTTAAATTCTGTTGCTCTCAAGAAAATATTTTAATATTATCTTTTCTCCTTGTTTTACCAGTGTATTTTATCTTGTATTTATTTGGCTTAGCAGTAAGTCTGTGTACTTCTGATGTTAAAAATCATGTTTCATGGTGGGCACAGCCAGATAGCCCATTGTGTAGCTTTATGCTTAACAACAAAGAAACAAAATTATTCAAGTAGAGTATGCCTGTTACAGGAGCTATAGAACAGTTATTCTTTCAGTTTAAACCTATACTAACATTTATTTTTTTTATAGAAAACCTGTACCTTTGTTTAAACTTGTTAAAAAAAAGATACTCTTGTACCCAACAGAACACTTCACATTGTTTCGGGAAACAAAATAATCTTATTTTCTGCAATGAGAAAAAGGTTTCTGGAGAGTTTATAGGATTAAATTTCAGGATAGTGTGAATGTTTCAGTTTGTATATAAGTGCCATTGTTTAATAACACAAAATGAATTAGGTTCATCAAGATAAAGAGATGTAACCAATACTGCAAGAATTACTGTTATTTTATAAATTACGTATTTGAACAGGGCAAAAAGAGATGTTATAGTGCAATTGATATAATATTTTGAAAGATCACACGACCATTCTATGTTGCTGCTGAAAATTATTTCTATGGATGTACTTCATAAATCTGGATATCCTATAATTGTTATGTTATGACTTAAAATTATAATCGGCTTAAACCATTTTTGTCAGGCCCCCACCAGCAGCTCTGTCAGCAGTTCTGGATGATACTAGTCAAGTGGTGGAAATATTACTCTCTGACTTTAGAGTTGGGGATTGCTGTATTGTACAACCCTACACAGACTCTTACACCTACTGTATGGCCTACTTCCTCATTTGGATGGAGGTGATGGACTTTTTCAGTGCCACCCCTTCAGAGGTAGATTTCGTATTTCTGTTTTGTAGTTTTATAGCAGGCTAGCAATATAAATAAGATATCTCCCAGTTTTCTGATCATTTGTAAATTTGTTGGCAACTGTCTACTGACCGTATAAAAGTTTACAAACGAGTATTAATCACAGTAGTTAGTTTATTATGTGAATAGTGTTTATCACATAATTTCTTGCCAATGTGTTTATCTGTGAAATAAGTAGAGTAGTCGACATTTTTAGTTAAAATGTTGACTGTGTTACATATTAAGTAGAAACTTCATCCTGTGTACTGACTTTGTAATTAGTGTGCAACAAGTAGGGTAGTTTGTAGTCAATTTGTGTTGAGTTGTGATGCAATTGTAATTATATTTATTATCTTTAGATAATAATCATGTTATTATTTAAAACCCTATGGTTGAGTAAAGAATAACATCTCGATATATTGAATTGTGATATTAGTATGAAAATGTAATCTTGATGATTGATTTTACAGTAAATGGTCATTAAAGAAAACACTGAATTGTTTATTAGTAAGAGAATTAGTTATGAAAATTAAATTACTAATTGATTGAAAGTGGTCATGGGGTTCAACATTGCAGAATTGTAAAATAACTTGTTTCAGAAATACTAGAATGTACTTTACTCTTAACTTCATAATTACTGATCATTAAACTAGCTAGTAAGTACGACTGGGAAGAAAAATTCAACTCTTCCTGCTTAAATCTCGGGAATTTAAAGTAAGATTTGATATAAAAGACAAATTGTAATAAACTTTATTTAAGTTAAAGAAATATGTCATGTTTTAAATATATATATGTATATGTGTGTGTATGTATGTACGAATGTGTTTGTGTACATGTATGATACATCATTTCAACCAAAATAAAATTGTAAATTTAGAATTTCAATTTAACTGTTACAACCTAAAGGTAAGCTAGCTTGGCTGTTTTTATTTTCAGGATCATGTAAATGTTCCAAAAATGTTTCTATTCATAGTTAAATGTTGAATTAAAGTGAAGCAAGTACAAAAAATGTGTCTTTAATAAAAAAAACTGTACATAATTTTGCATGGCTCAATTGTTTTTGCTTTTTTTATATTTTATCATCAACATCATGGTCTTTGTATACTTTTAGAATCGTTCAGAATATGCCAGTTACTTGAAGAATTCCAACCATCTTTCCAGTCTTCTTAGTTACCTCTTTCGCCTTATGCCTTCTAACCCTACTCTTCCACACACTGGTGAGAAACAAGTCAGTCCCAGTAAAAACCAGGTTCCAACTCTTTTCTCCGAACCAGTCGACTTATCTGTAACAAGTGAGTTGTTATTATTGTTTTTAACTTCTGCTTGATCTTCACATGCTGTTTTTAATTTACATGTAGTATTAGATATTATACAGTAAAAAAAAAGTATGGAGGTAGATGCAAAATATATAAATTCTTATTTTTAATAAATGTACCTTGTACAACTTATCTTACAGTTGTAACTCAACTATTTGTCTTAGAGGCACACCCTGTTCACATCAGTTTTAAGAGTAAAAAACAACATTTGTTTTGACACAATGAAGGGTAAAATATTTATAATTACGTACAGCCAACTAATTTAAGTAACACACTTACCATCATAAGGGCTAATATCTACAGTGTTAGCTTAGAATATATTCAGCTACAAACCATTAATGGGTGAATTCCTTTTCAAAACCTTTGATTGTTGCAAGAAACGTTGGTTTTTGTGTTTTTTTACTCTTAATATAGTAGCACAATGTGCCTGAAAAGAATTTAACCTGTATGTACGTCAAGTATAAGACATGAATTGTATCTTGCAGGCACACCTAGTTCACATCAGCTTCAACACCTTGCATGTCAGGTGTATTTAAATTCTTTGAAGAAACTACCTGCTCTGGTCCGCCAGTGGTGGACTGAACAAGACAAGAGAACTACGGACATTGTTAACAGGTAGCATAGGCAACACTTCTGGTTTGATTTTTAATATAAACTTCATATATTGTGTCACTTAAAGAGTTACAGTTATAATAATTTTATTAAAATAACACCAGCTTTTTTTTTTCTTCAATTAAAATACGACTTTAATTGTATACTTGATATGTTTGGTTTATATCTTTAGGTTCACATCAAAGTATGTCAGTAGCCTTATCTATACAGAGGAGATCCAAGCTGTACATCGTGGAGATCAGAGATTCAAGAATTTAAAGGTGAGTTATAGTGTAGTCTTTTTTTAAGCAAAATTTTGTGAACTGCATTAAAAGTTTAGTTATAAAAGCTATGTTTTTCTACTTTTAAAGTGAAGAAGTTCAGAAGGTTTCATGTACTACATTTTTCTGTACTGTTGGACAAGGTATAACATCCATTTACTTCTAGGTTAAAGCTCGGCCAGCTGCACGGGAAGTAATGGCTACCTACACCATAGATGAAGTGACAATAGAACTGGTCATTCAGCTGTCGGCCAATCATCCACTGGGTGGTGTTACAGTAGATGGTGGAAGAAGAGTTGGGGTTTCTAACACCCAGTGGAGAAACTGGCTGTTACAATTAACCACCTTTCTGACACACCAAGTAAGTGAATGTGTTTGTAAGTTATATCACTTCAAACGTCGATTGCATAGAAACTATTTCTTATACCAGACTGTCAACAAAAAACATTGAGATACATTTCAGCATTTTAATCTCTGTTAATGAATGAACCAGTTAGGATCAACAAGGTAGACCTACTTTCAGGATATGTACACAGGTTCAGTACGCTATATGAAAATAATTTCACCACATGATTACAACAATTCAGGCTCTATTTAATGACAAACAACTGTGCTGCAGCAAAGTTTCCCTCACAAAATGCTGTCGTATCTACAATTCCCTGGATGGTTTCCACAATCCATTTAGCATGTGAGGATGGCAGTTTCACAGTGCTTGTTTCAACAGTATGATTGCAAAGAAATGCTACATCTGGTGGCTTGACCTATATTTATATCTTTCATATGGAATAAAATGAATACTTATTTTGTTTTCCAGTTGATAAATTTTGG